CCATTTTGGTTCGCTATGCTTCTAAATGAATATGAAATAGAGTTTATGTTCAGAAAAATTCGAAACATTCGAAATTTGGGCAATGTTTACATTAGAGGTCCTCACATTGACACATTGTTTAATATGAGCATAGCCGACCAAAAATGCGTGTTGAAATTTGTACCCTCGCGCATGGCGCTCGGGCATGCATCGAGTCTACACTGAGTAGACTCGATGCATGAAAAAAAATTTTAAAAAAATTTAAAAAACAATAAAAAAAATAATAAAATTTTGGGCTGCTATGATATGGGCAGAACCAGGGGCGTAGGAAGCTTAGAAAAGTTGGGGGGGCCAGGCTTTGAGGGGCACTTTCAAAAAAAAAGGGCATCTCAAAAAAAATTTTTGGCGACCCCCCCCCGTCGCCAAAAAAATTTCGGTCAGTGTACCATTTTAGGGGTAAAAAAATTTTCCGGACATACCATATTTTTCCTTAAATACTAAAATTTTTTCCGGAAAAACAAATATATGATATTTTTATCGGAAACTAAAACATTTTTCGGGAAAAAATTACAGTTTTCAAAAGTTTCGTTTGGACAAAAACTGCGAATTTTATGAAAATTTTTCAGGCACAAAAAGGGCACTTTGCTCCTGTAAAAAGGGCACTTGCCAAAACTTGGGGGGGGAGGGGCATGGCCCCCCTGGCCCCCCCCGGTTCCTACGCCCCTGAGCAGAACCGATGCGCAGAACGGGCTTGACTTCCACTTTAATGTTTTAATAGTAAGGTTATTCATGAACAAGCTTAAAAACAGGATGAAACAACCATCAAACTGATGCTTAGCATGGCGAAAATAAAACATCGTTTGTTGGTAATTGCAAATTTGGTAATATTTGGTCATAAATATGTTTAAGATAATTTTTTTCCACTACTATCTAGATGAAACACTTGACCGGGCAACGTCATGATAAATCAATGCGCGCTCTGGCTCTTGAAAAAATCCCCACATGTAAGCCGATAACACCTCAAGAAATTGCTCTGTTGGACGAAGGTTCCTTTCAAGAAGAGGACGAAGTTTGATCAGCATTTCGTCATGCAAGACGTATGAAGTTCCGAAAACATACGAAGACAGACACCAAACCAAAATGCTTTCCCCCACCAAAGAAATTGCTTTGTTGGAAAGATCACAGAATAGATACTGGACCAGAAGTGTCACTCAGACGATATTTTCCCCGAAATTTTACGAGTGCTGTCCACTGAGCTATACTATAGGTGCTGTCTTGCCGACGTGAGAATACGCCATCATATGATGCCATCCTGGAGTGCACACGGAAGTTTTTCATAGGAAAACATAGGTACAAAGTGCCGTGTGCACTCCAGGATGGCGTCATAGCACGTAAAAAATTTCGGACGTTTTTCCCAAGCCAAAACATATAGGAGTGTCCCTTCTGGTCTGGTGTCTATTCTGTGGAAAGATGCTCTGTTCATGAAGAGTATGGCACGAGATCGACAATTTGTCGCGCTGTGTAGAAAGTGTGGGTCGAAATCGTGGCGAGGACAAAAGAGACACCAAATTCATTTTGATATTGCAGAAAATGATTCATTACAACTAGGATGTCAGAATTACGTTATTAAATAAATTATCAATCAATCAATAAATAAAATTATCTACTAACTATTAAAATTATCTACTATTTGGTATGGTTCAATTAGCTGTTCATATTGGAATCGGGCTGGCCTGGTTAACAGGGATGAGTCGTTTAATAAAGCTTTTGTTACCGAAATCAGTAGTGTGTCTTTTCCGGAAGTTGAAAATACAGTCAGAAGCCAGTAGAAACGTTAGCAACTTGATTTAGAAACGTTAGTAACTTTATTTAGTTTGACAAATTGCCAATGGCTCGCCAAGCACAAAACAAGCTTTCGAGCGAAGTGAGAACCTTTGTTCGTGGGAAGACAATAACATACAAGTAAGAAGTAAAATAACATACAAGTTCCATTGCTGCATTCCTTCACCGTGACGTCATAAAACATGAACGTCTCTACTGGCTTCTGACTGTCTTTTCAACTTCCGGAAAAGACACTCTACTGATTTCGGTAATACCACAGCTTTGGTAAACATCCAAGATGTATGACGTTGTCCACAAGGCACGAGAAAGTCCGCCAGCATGCTGCTAGGAAATTTTTTTAATCTCACAGGAAATTTTTAAGGAAAAGCAAGATATCAAGAATGAAGAACGAGAAATTTCAAAAATCAGCATTAAAGTAACAAACATCACAATTAGAGCATAGATACAACAATCATAACATAAAAAATTGTATCATGTGGCAGTGCTACAACTGTCTGTCATCATGATTATGATACATGTGGAAAACAAGGGCGTACTACTATTATTGAATAGTGCATGAATACTGATATAAATAATTCAGATTTACAATCTGAAAACAGAATTCAAATATTGTTTCATAATCATGTTCCTAATTCTAGTAAACCTATACTTTTCCTAATATTGAGGTAGTATATGACTTATTAAGGTATACGACGCTGTTCTTGAATTACAACCAAAATTCATATTTATAAAAAAAATGGCAGAAAATTTTAGGTCTGGGAAGCCTGCTGCCAGGAAGAAAAATATTTTATCAAGGCTTGGTTGTCCAGTTTGTAGTCCGTAATATGTCGTGTTTTAGTTGTTTAAGATGGATGGACTTAGCATGGGATTCTAGTTCTGTTGTCCAATCCATCAATCATAGTTGTATGTGTATTTTTTATATATGATTGTAAAGTTAATAAAAAACAACAAAAGATGATATTTCAAAGTTGAACTAGGCTTTCTAGTAACAATATAAAGTTCAAGCGACCGTTTGTGGCATGAAAAAAAATTTCGTAAAACGACTTATCCCAGCTAGTCCGGCTCAATATGAACAGCCGCAGTGTCCTAAAGCTACACTTAAGTTATATGATTATCAATAAACATTTTTTATACATTCAACACCCATTTACTTCAATGAGTTTTTGGCAGTCTTTGCATTTTGGCGCTGTGACGTAAAGGGCAGTTACAGACAAGTTCTAACTACAAATCCTAACATATAGCGACTTCGTCGTATTATATATTCAACACAATTATATTATAACGCTCGCATCGCTTAATCAGTCTTCAACTTTTGTGTAACGTTATAGCAAGACCGTTAGGAATTAAGAAGATTTTTGACAAGTTATGAGATTTCGGCAAACAGTACGTTGCTTTAGTTTCATCAAGAACACGGACAGAAACTATAGTAATTAAAATGGGCAAAATGGAGTCCATTCTGTTGTTAGTTCCAAGCGCGCGTTTTTCTCGCTGTCCGATCAATTTGTTAGCATTAAACTAGGATTGAACGATCTGTACAATTTGCGGATAAGACAGGTTAGGATTTACTACTTGGATTGAAATAATCTCGTCATGCTAGTAGATTAGGATTAAACCACGATTAAATAGTTTGTACAGTTTGTTAGCCCTCAGGTAAGTTAGCTGGGATTTAGGATCAAACTTGGATTAAATGATCTGCATTTCCTCAGGCTCATTGACGGTCGTCTCCTCTCGCTCTGGTTGCTCAACTTTCGAGCTTTTTTCAGTATTTAGCTTGTCGATAAAATTCGTACGATCAACGGAGCTGGTGGCCTGGGTATGATATGATCTCCTGCTTGAGAAAGCTCGCTGTCTGCCACGAAGTCTGCTGACCAGTGATACCGCCGCCTTGCGGAAATCGCGCTTTGCGAACGTAAACATGAGCGGGTTGATGACTGGGGCTAGAAAGCGAAATATTGCCAAAGCTTCGTGTACTTCATCTCTAGGATTGATGAATTTAGCCCAAAGCAGGTACGATGGCAACCACGAGATGATAAAAAACAGGAACAGCAGGAAAAACAGGATTGCGATACGGCGATTATTTTCCGACCGGGTATTAGTCCCGGCGATCAAAACTCCGGGACGTGAATTGAGAAATAAGCGCAGATAAATATGCACATGAATGCAGATTAAGATAAACGTAGGTATTGCAAAAGCAAAGACGATCAAGAATATCGCATGCTTATGCATTATTTCATCGTCTCTGGTTCCCATATGTTTGACATAAAATGGGATATGTCCAACTAGGAACGAGACAATCCAAATCGAGGCTACGATGAAATGAACGCGAGGCTTTGTGCACGCGGTGATGTTACGCATTGGATGCACAATGGCGAAATACTTTGCGACCGTTGCTGCAACGATGTGATAGATTGAGCCAAGAGACAGCGTAATATTACTCACGTAGTAGAATATACACACATTCGAGTTGTGGACATCTCCGAGAAAGCGTATTTCGCACGCGATTCCAGTTGGTATCATCACGCATGCGCATAAAATATCTGCCAAGGCGAGGCCAACGAGGAAGGTGTTGCCAGCACTATGACGTAATGAAGAAATGTTGAAGTACAAGACCACTACAGGAACGTTGACTATGACGATTATAAAAGCAAGGATTGTTAAAGTTGTGTGGTATGTCATATTCCATTCATTCTCACCCGTGGTAGCATTCGACGACACGTTCCCAGTGGTAGCATTCGCCGCCATGTTTGCTTTGTTTGTTGAGGCTGTTAAACAAAACAAAAACTATGAAACCCGAGATCAAAGCAACAATGCATGTGGCCAACTCTAGCTGTACTTTTCATTGACAACTAAGGGTCCCACCATTAGAAAAGTGATGGGAGAGGGAGGGGATTTCAGTTTGCATAGTTGCATTAGGTTCAAATGGTATTTCTCTTTGCTTTCTTAATCTTTGCAAGATTTTTTTAGCTGACAATTGACCTCCATATACCGTCATTAAACTATCAAGTTGCAAACACAACATAATGTTGTGTTGTTGACAGATATATCGGAACCTTCCTCTCTTCAATGAATGTATATACATGCATACTATGAAATATCGAAAAACTAAACGAAAGCATATTCACAAGTATGAATTAAGGTCACCACAGAGAAAGGTTGTGCCTAGATGATTGGAACAAAAAGATAAAATAATCTATATATCTATAACAACTTTTATATTATGAAGGTAAACACTTCACACTTGTGACCCTCGAGTAAATTTGCTACACAAGCACTGACCAATTTGTTTAAGAGACCATCACAAAACATCATCCTGATAGTTTCGTATTTACCGAAATTCGTTTAAAACAAAAGCGGACCTAGGAACCTAGACCCCCCGAGTAGTGTTTTACTCAACACAATCACGCGCAGTAACAAAAGCACCCCTAGGAGAAATACACACCTGCGCAGCCTGAATATAAACACCTTGTGTTATCTTCTTTTCACGATTTCATGGACATTCCTATGGACAGTTTTTTTGTTTCCGAAATTGAGAAAACGCGTCACATTCCCGAACGAATCGCGTCCGATACGTTTATATGGTATCATTCCCAATCATCTGTACGTTGTTTTCAAAACGATTTAATCAGTTTGCGCTTAATAATTCAGTCGACGGAACTCATTTATTAAGTCTGTTATCTTCCGTTCAACCAGCTTCGTAATAAAACTCTATCTTATCTCCTCGTTTGCTTTAATTATGCATTCTTGAAAAGTTTTGATTAGCTCTTTGAAAACCGTTGAAGTTTGATACTTAATAAACAATCCTTTGTCAAGTTCACTCCTTTACGCTGACCAGTAATTTACAGTTACTTTGTCCGTGGAAATATAGTAATATTAACGGAGCTGATTAATTAAAGTTTAAAGCAACGGGGTTTTTTTTCAATAAAACTACACGCAACTATTAATTTCGACAAAATAATGTTTACAAAAACAAGCAACTCAAAATGCACATGTGGTTTACACATTAAGGATTGGAATAGGAATTTTCCGCACCTCAATACAGCTTAATTTATATATATTATATATTTATAAATCATCGTTTTTGTTTCATTAGCGGAAAAGTTAAATACTCGACAAGTTATTATAAGGAAACGGGCTCGTTTTCCGAAGAGCATATATATATAAATATTACCTTTTACTTTTTAAAATTCTCCACAAAAACCAGAAATGCTCAAAATTAGCGTGGAAGTCTTTCCTGCAAAGTTACGCAAGACTTGCTCGCAAAGCTTTTCACTTTATTTAAATTGTATATATCAGCTTGAACGTCAAGCGTCGCTCACAGATCACATGTTATACTACACATAAAACTGAAATTTAAAAAATTATACACACCCTTTTTTGCCGTTCTCAGCTACAGGAACAAAAAGTTTAATTTCCCTTGTGAAATTAGTTTTTCCCAGCGTGCGTACTGCAACGTGCTTTATCTATAGTCTTGGGGAGATTATCTGCGAGTTGATGAGCCCCCAAGCAACTTCCTCAATTATCTAGAGCTTCCACTATGTTTATTTTCCCTTTAAAATTTCTTTTAGATTCTATTAATTTTGTCAGTATGAAAATAAAAGTAGTATATATTATTTGTAGCACTGTCACAAAACAGCACGAGTAGTATAGTTGATATCGTTTCCGTCACGCGTGTCTCGCTTCACTGCATGAGCTGAATATTTATCGACACAGCAACAAATTGCATCTACAAGTGTTATATTTTTTCGTTTATATAGACAAGCTAGAATTTAACATTTTCTTAGCCGACCATAAACAAATGCAGAGTCCATGAAAGCTTCCACAAACGATTAGTGATTACTCACCTGTTGTTTTTTTATATACACTGACGATTCTTTTACAATTTTCAAAATTATTTAAGTGAAAATTATTCCCGAACCTTCGCCTAACCAGACAAAGTAAGACTAACTAACCTCTCAGCCGAAACTAAGTGCTTAAAGATTAGTTATTGATGTTAATTATACTCTGAGACAAAATGACGTTCATTTTTTACCCACACCTGCCTTCACTTTATGTTTTTCCAAATTTATATTAACACAAACGGAAATGAAAAACCAACACCGTAAGGCATAACTGAAAAGAGCACATCAAAATTGGTAAAACTGCAAAGTTTGCTCGTAAAATATTGTAAAGTAGGGATAATATAGCCTTGCAAAGTTTAGTATTTTATATACTTTAATTATAATGCGAAAGTCATTGTGTTGCCTATATATATACCGTGTGGTAAATATTTACTTCGGGCCATAGAAAAAATATGTAAACTTTGCAAGGTCACATTATCTTCATTTTATAATGTTATACGGTCAAACTTTGCAATTTTACTCACTTTCGTGCAATTTTTTCAGCTGTGCTGTTACCTGTTCGATTACTTTGCCTTTTATACAAATTCGGAAAAACCGCAATGGGTTGTCTATTCAATTGCATTTGGCTAAATTATACCTACATAGGACTTGGATAATGCATAAACAGTCTCTTATTTTCTACTTTTAACGTATTTTAATGAACAGTACTCCCACCAAACTCTCGTCAAATTCTCATCTCCGTCCAATCAAGGACAAGGCTCAACTATTTTTCGTTTCTTCAATGTGGAAACACGGGCCTTCGTGACACAGTTCACCTTGAACGTGCAGGGTTAACCAAGCGGATGTCGTTTAGACATATTGTATTTCAATATCACGCAGTTTAAATAAGTTATATTCATATATTATTCAACGCGGGGTTGCTGTTTACCATTTGTAATTATTAAACTCAGTAAATGTTGATGACTATCTTAAATTTGAAATATTACGAAGCCACAAAAGGTGGAATATTTTTATACTGGCATTAGACGACAGGAGACAACATTCACTGGAGTGATGTTCATCACGCATTCCTTCCAATGTGATGTTAATTGTTCCCAACTTGGTCTTGTTGCTCAGAAGATAGAGCGTCGTTCTAGAAATTCGATTCGTGTCCAGCCGTGCCGTGGTCACGTAGAATTTCAATACACCTATATTATATATATATCATGACATATACTACATTATTCAGGGTCCCCCCAAAACAAAAACTATTGAAATAACGTATTGTTCGTTATTTGAATGCCCTAGCACTAAGCTCAACGCAAAGATGCGTAAAATATTGACAAGGACAGGGTGCATATTGTCTATTGACTAAAACAGATTTGTAAAGCGCACGTGATTTACCGCTCTCTTGGACTTGGGAATTTAAAGCAGCTTCTTAAACAGTTTCTTTATGCATAAAATTTACTTATGCCAAGCTTTTATGCACTTGTGGGTTGATCAAAGTGTTAGGGCATTCAAATTCTAACATTAATTATACGTTATTTCAATAGTTTGCGGGGGTGTTGGGGACACTGGCTGTATAGACACATTCCCAATGAATTCGAAAACTAATTAATTCTGTTGCTGTTCATAAATTTTCCTACTTTTCCGCCCCCAAAACCCAAAAGTTGTTATCCTAAAAACTTAATGAAAAGAGGGCCATCACGCATGCATAATTAAATAGTCAAGTAGTACACCTTCCCACACAAAGAAATATATTTTAACGTCTACACTACAGTAAAAATAACAAAAAAACTTGTTGCTCTACTGTTTTCTTATACAGTTATAATTATTCTTGATAATTTATATATACGTTCAATGGACATTTGCATTATAGACTAAATTTTGATCTAAACAAGTCTAGACAAAAAAGAGCATCACAAAATTAGTAATATTCCAAAGTTTCGTTGCGAAATGTTGTAAAATGCGGATAATATAGCCTTGCGAAGTTTGTCGTTTTTCAGTCATTTTGTAGTACGCGGGGGGAAATTGACAGCCCAATACCCTTTGGGGCTGTCAATTTCCCGTTTGTAATGCAAAATGACTGAAAAACGGCAAACTTCGCTAGGCTATATTATCCGTATTTACAACATTTCGCAACGAAACTTTGGAATATTACTAATTTTGTGATGCTCTTTCAAGCTGTGATGAAATTTTTGTCTAGACTTGTTTAGATCAAAATTTAGTCTATAATGCAAATGGTCCATTTCTTCGTCAAAACTATATAGCGCCCTGCTATCAATGAAGAACCCGCTGAAATCAGTCGTATAGTTTGATTGTTTTTGCAAGTGTCTGAATGAAGCGCAAATTGATTATTGTAAAAGCGCACACGTACGTACCCGCAGTGCGAACAAAACAATATAAAATTGCAGAGTAATAATAAAACGACTACTTGTGTAATTATTTACATGGAAAAACGCGTCAGTCATCTGATTAAAATAATAATCAAGGTTAAAAGAAATAATAAATATTTTCTGCATGAAAAAACTAAACTACGTGTTTTGCCACAACGATGAACTAACACTGAAGTCGTGTTTAAACTACATGCTCTACCAACTGAGCTACGTGTAAACAGACTTTGGTCTGGCCTTTGCCTGATCCAAACCAGGAAATCTGGGCACACTACAACCGGTGGCCTAGGCTTGTGGAAATGTAAACACTTTCGGCCCTGGCCTGGGCCTTATTTTTATGGCAACGTGTGTCCACAGTGAGAGATTAGCCGACAACCAGCGGACAACGTCACAACACATAATAATACGCAAAATTAATTACAAAATTCTAGGCCAAAGTGAGCCAGTCTCAAAAAAATAGTGTAATGGTGTAAACGCGCCACATTTACCTTGGCCAGGCCAAGACTAGGCCAGGGCTTGTAGTGTAAACACGACTTGAAATATTGACTACAAAATGACAACTTATAGTTTCACAATATGACAACTGCATGATATCTCAAATCACCGATAACATGTCACGTGGCTTTACACCAAATAGTAGTTCACGAGTTAATGTAATGAGTATATACTGGCATATCGTTAACGAAAGGCAATTTTAAATCCTTCTTTCAAAATACCAATATGTTCACTTATATTTGCCATTCAGCCATGCATGCCTCACTATTCCATCGATAATTTAAGTATTATTTTTGTTTCTCAACTCATAATACTGAACTACATCAATAAGGTGAAAGTAATTCCCTCGAAAACAAACGTTTTTTATTATCGAAAGGAAAATCAATTCTTATCAATTTTAACCTCCGATAAAATCGTTCAGCTGTCACCTCAAATCTCGTGTAAAAATCAAATCAAATGAGCGAAAAAAAGTGAAAAAAATCGCGTAATTTGTCGAGTTTGGTCGTTTTCTTTGACTGAATGGGCGGTATTTTTCTTTCTTTGAAAATGGGCGGTCTTTCGTGGCTACTGCATGATATAAAGTACGTGGGCGAACTTCATGATGGGTTCATGCACAAGAGTCGCAGATGCACAATGTTTGTACATGCAGGGACAAAAACAACTAAGGATGCAGCTATAGTGTTGTGTTTAGTTGTGACGTCACATTTATTGGCCAATAATAGGACAGACATTGATCACGGGACATAGGGAACTTAATAAAGGAACGAATACAATAACTAGTATTCCAACAAGCCAAATTCACGAAACTTGTATGGCTCATCATAATTATTTCATCCTAAACTAAAGGCAGCCTGCATGGTTTCCATATGGTCGGAACGGTCGTAAAGATTGAGTCGTGCACGATCTTTCTATAGAACTGAAAATATAGGCAGAGAATTCAAAACTATAGAGAATACTTATGATTTATATATGGTTTACAGGTAAAAACTATATTATAAACTGGCCGTTGAGAAAGATCGTGACTCGATTTTTACGACAGTTGCATATGGAGGCCGAGGCTTAACGTTGTTATCTTCATTCCCAGGGTCTTGTGCTCATCAGGTTGATTTCATAAATGTTGAATGAACTGTTCTTCACTAGTGCTCTGCCATCTTCAACCATTCCCTGCAGTTGTTGCAGTAATGGAAAGAGAGAGCAACAGTCATCGTTACTAGATATTAACCTTGGTCAGCTTGCTCATTATATTGCTCAGTCATTTGACACTTTTCAATCATACATTTAACTGAAGATATTACTTCAGTTATAAAAAAATACCCGAAGTCTCGAACACACTCAGTCAGTGCATTTTTTAAGGATTCTTCAGTGGTGGGGCAAAACTGCCAAAGGGCTCATTTTCCTTGCCCTTCCCCAGCATAGTATATGATCGCCGAAGGTGTGAGCGGAGTATCACAGGCACGAGTTAGCTAGGGGGGGAGGTCGAAGCTGGGGGCATGTCCCCCCCCCGGAAATTTTTAAAATTTGGGTCTCTGAAATAGCATTTCCTGCATTCTGAGAACACATTTTAAAAAATCTCAGCTTCTCAAAACAAAGTTTTAATGGTGAAATTTGTAATAAATTGCATGCTAAACATTCAAACACAACATAAGTTTAAGTATGCTCAATACCAACAAATTTTGTTTTTTAAACTTCTTTTCAATGTTAAACTCATT